TTGTTTTTTAAACAAACTGGAAGCATTTTACAGAGAAGCTTGTAAAACCAAGCAGAGCATTTCATTAGAATTTGAGTGGTCTGGAGGACAGAAGGAATGTCCCAGGAACTCTCAGAATCGCTGGAAGCTCAGAACAACACAGAGTGAGGCAAGGTTTCAAGAATTCTTTTGGTTCCACTTTTCCCTCAAAATTTCCAAAGAACAGCTAAAAGTTTAGCAAACATGGGTGTGAATGGTTCAGCTCTGCTACTTCAGTCCTGCACTCGGGTGCCATCTGGGAGGCAGGGTGAGCCACAAGATCCCAGGAAACTTGATTTATCGTGACCAAAAGTGTAACAAGCTACTCCCTTTAGAAAGTGCAACTGAGATTCACCTCAATTAATTAATGAGTATTAATTGAGGAGGAAAAAGCAATAAAACTCTACTATATGTAATGTAAAGAAAGAGGACAGAGCAACTGCACAAAATCAGGATACACATGACAAGCATGGTATCCCAAGATGTGTCTAAACCAAAAAAAGGTAATATAAGCAAATGCAGGAATTAGAGTTGACCAAAAACTAGCTTTGAGATTCTTTCAAAGCTGAATTTTTAAAGAATGTTATCCCAGGGACTCCGAGGTAACAATGTGAAACTGATGCGATAAGCAATTTTGTTCATGTGTCAAAAGTCCTCCATTGGCTCCAGTGCTCATGGTTCCTTCTGGAGATGGGCACAGCACGGTTACTCTCATGGTCACGGAAGTCACAGAGGTGGTTCCACATGGGGGCACAACTGCCAGGGCCTGAGAGGAGCCCATCTTCTTCTCCATCGGATCCTCATTTAGCTTCATGACATGGCTTTTCAGGACCACCCAAACAGGTGGCCCCCCAATGGGCTGTGTTTGGGATCCACTGGGGTGTTTGGGACATGGGTCTCAAGTAAGCAGACTACATAGGGCCAGAGAACCTTGTCCAGAATAGGGCAGGAGTCTTGAGATTCTTTGAGAAGAAACAAGAAAGGGACCTCAAGTAGACCTGCCATTAAATGACAAGGACCCAGAGCAAGGATGGGGAGACTCTAAAAGCTTCCAGAGAGAAAAATAGGTCCCTATGATATCATCAGACAATAAATACTTATTTGGTCTTCTGTGATCCTGGCACAAAGCTCCTAAAAATTCTGGGATTTCCTTAGTGATGGAGAGGAGCATTTGCTGTTATTCATTAACACACTCCTTTCGATCATACCTGGGTTTATTCCCATCAGGTGACCTTTGGAGGATCAGGGATGGTTGCCAGGGGAACCCACCTTGCGATTAGAGATCCAGAACTCTCAGCCCTGTTCCCGACCTTCTTGAAGGGAGAGGGGATAGAGACTGAGCTAATAGCCAATGACCAATGATTTAATCAATCAGCCTGTGTAATGGAACTTCCATAAAAACCCTAAATGAAGGGGTTTGAAGAGCATCTGGGTTGTGCTGAACATGCACAGGGGTGGGGAGGGTGGCACTCTTGGAGAGGGCATGGAAACTCTGCGCCCTTCCCACACCTTCCCTGTGCATCTCTTCTATCTGCTGTTCCTGAGTTGCATCCTTTATAATAGACCAGTAAACGTGTTTCCCTGAGTTCTGTGAGCCCTTCTAGCACATTATGGAACCCGAGGAGGAAGTTGTGGGAACCCTGATTTACAGCTGGTTGGTCAAATGCACAATTGACAACCTGGCCTTGTGCCTGGAGTGTGAAGTGGGAATGATCTTGTGGGACGGAGACCTTAGCCTATGGGGTCTGATTACTGCCAGGCAGTCATTGTTAGAATTGTTTAATGGGAGAAAAAAACTCACACATTTGGTGTCAGAAGTGTGTGAGTAAAAGTTTCCCTTTAGTCACTTGCATAAGAGCAGGAGCCAGACTGTGTGAAGACTTCTCAACACCAGAAAGTTCTGAGAAAACTGCTTTGACTAAGATTTGTAGGCTCAGGCAAACCAATAATTTCCATGCATGCAAGAAAAGACATGAAAGTTCACTTTCTCCATATCCTTTCTTGAAAAGTTGTTTGGGAATACACTCCAGCAAAAAGCGAATAAACCAAGAAATAAGAAGACTGGGAATTATGAATACAACTGGAGGGAGAACCAGAGGGCCTTGAGGGTGTGCAGTCTATGAAGTGAGTGTTCACATCCAGGGACTAAGGATGTCGTGGGGGCAAGGGAGGGGAAGAAAACATGGTTGGTAAAGTATCCTGTGATGACACAGAGCAATGATAAAGACGGTATAGAAAGTCAAGAAAATTTTACAGAGCAGGAGGCACCCCTAGAAGACAGAGATAGAGGTATAAATAAAAAACAAGTGACTGGGCTGCAAGGAACTCACAGGTGGAAGGACAGACTGGTATGTTAACACTAAGAATTCTAATAAATGTATAGAGGGTGAAGGATGCGTAGGGCAAGGGTCCCTTATTCAGCCTTGCAATGGGATTAGCAGTCCTCAAGAGTAACTATAAAATTCAACATCAAGTGAAATGTGTGGAGAGCCCCTAAGGCATTGTGGACAATCACTGGCACTTCAGGGACTCTGAAGTGGCTCACAGTCCAGTGAGATCTGGAACCCTCTAGATAGAGATCTGTGCAGGATGACTGCCCACTTGCCCCGGGCCATCTCAGCCAGACAACCTGTCCCTGAAACAGGGGAAACTGGTTCCTTTATACAGCTGAAAAATACAGATTTTACCCCAAACATACTTGCAAGGTAGAAAAAAATGCATCTGCCAAAGCAAATCATTCTGTGCTCAGCACAGAATATATCTGCTTGACCCAGTGGCTCAAAACTGTTTCCTTTTGAATTGAACAGAGAATCCCTGTGGAGATCAAAGGCAGCCTGCTCATTTGAAAGCCAAGAGCCAGGTTTTATAAAGCTATGCTCTCTCTGCAAGCGAAGCCACTGGGGTTTTTCCACTGTTATAGGCTCCCCTTTTAAAGGTCTAATAAAGTCTCACAGATTAACTTTGTCTTGACTTCATCTTTTGCTAAGTGACAGCTCAAACGTTTAGAATGACTATTTAATCCTGTGGTGGATAAAGCAACACTGCAAGAACTATTTTTTATGTAACTTAAAAGAGCGAGAAAGAGGGCTGAGTTGAAAGCCCATATTGGCAATCCCATGGCACACAGAGTCCCCTCCAGCAAGTCTTGCAGTGACAATTGCGTCTCCACTGTGTGCTAGGAGATGGCCTGAGTTATCCCAGTGAAGGAAACACTCAGCCTCACCCTCCTGGGGGGCTGCCTGTTTTTGGAAGGTCACTGTCCAAAGAGCTGCAATTCTGCTCTTTATTCCACGTGTGAGGGGAGAGATTTAGAAATGAAGCTGAGGGCTTCAGCGAACACAGTCAGTGCCAGGGACCAGCATAGAAGTTGACTGCCCACTTGCCCAGGCCATCTCAGCCTGGAACTGTTCCTCATCCCCACTGGTCTCCCCTACTTCTAGGTGTTTTGAGAATCGGAGAGTTTGGTTTTAGTCAGGACCGCAGGTTGGGCTCATGGAGTGTGTACTTATGTGTTCACTACTGCTCTAATGCTCAGGGCCTCTGTGTCCTTCTGAGTGTAGGGACTGGGGGGGGGAGACTGGGG